CTCTAATAATATCATGAGCCTGCTAAGGCCCATGCAACGAAGGTAAATTATTCTTACTTCTTGCATGTCCTACAGGCAATCTTTATCATTACCGTAATCCTAAGGAAACACTAGACAAGCTCACTAAATTGACAGTTACATATTCTACTAGCTGAAAATCAAGAGAAGATCGTAACCAAGAGCCGCGCTGCGGAAAAAGTTACTAGCTGAAGAAGTTCGGTCTCAGTAGGGGAAGAGGACTTGAGGGATACAGTACCTGAATATCCCATAGGCATTCTTCATCATTACCGTAATCCTTCGGCCAATTGGGCGAATGCACGACGCCTGTCATGGCGTGCGTGGCGAAGCCGCATTCTGTAACATGAGGAAACCATGACCATACCGTAGATAAGAAATCAAAGGTCGTATAATGTGTTGAACAGGAACAGCTGCGTGCGGTCGCAACACGTTTTGTACGAAAGGCCAATCCCACGAATTATGTCTTACAATTAGTATCAACTTCTCCAAAGGTTCCAGTGTTTGATGTAGTTAAATGGTGTTCCACTAAAAATTCCATCGCACCGCCGCGCAGCCGCACTCGGCTGAGCCTGTCGAGCTCAATCACGAAAAACTTGAGCTATCACAACTATACCTGCTCCATCTGGTATGAATTCGTAATCGATGCGCCATCCTCTGTACTCCTTATCGCTGTCAGTGGTCCATGTCAGAGTGAGATAACGTGAACGCGATTTCACTACCTGTCAGGGACATACATACAAGATAGTATACTCGGTGATTTACACAAAAGTTGCACAAACCTACCTTGAATCGTTCTTTGAGCATCTCTTCCTCCGTTTCGTTGCCGTACCGCTTCTCACGTGAGCAATACCGATGGATCACATCGTTATCATGTCCTAAATATCGGGTACATTTGGAGGATCACCCTAAGGTCGCAATGGAATATGTTCACTTTGTGATTGGTTCATAAATAACGATATGGCACAATGAACATACATATCGACTGATTATAAGTTGTGCTGGAGAGTGTCTCCTACAAAAGGGTTCATCAGAGGTCTTGCCTAGACATCTTAGAGGTGGGGATTAGGGCTGTTGCCAACGCAGTCATCTCAGTCAATTGATAAGGTCCATTACTGATGTCACTGCCCTCTGTTAAGCATTCGACAATGAGCGATGCATACCTTCTCCAACAATCAGTACGTCAGCATCGCATGCAGGATTGTACTCAATGTCCATGTCGGTGAATGTGATCTGAAAACGAGAACCTCTGATAAATTCCATACTGGCCGATCCTTCAATTCTATCTTCATCTTTATCTTCAATTCTCAGTTTCATCGCACTTCATCTTAACTGTCATTCAGTCTGTCCTTCAAGACGGACTCGCAGTATATCTCTCTAAGAGCTCATAAGATATTAAATCACAGTTAGCTATAGACCGCTAAAATAAACAGAACTAGCGGTCAGGTGCGTAGCCGTTGTTGATTTCGGACCATGTCATTTCCATGCCGTTAGAGGCAGAAGAGTTTAAGTGCTGCCGAATTGGGAATCAACATTTGGGATAAGCAGCCTGTAGTCGGTAGAGCGTCTTGCTGTTAAAAAAGTGAAGGGTCCGACTTCACGGGTAGACTCGAAATAAGAGCTAGGGCGTGAGTAATGGAATGTCAATGTAGAAGATTTTGTGAGCTTTTGCGATCTGTCGAACAGATAGCCCCTTTCTACTAGTGTATGGTTCTATTTGGGCAGTACTTTAGTATTCTGCATTTTATGTAAAGAGACTGCATTTTGTTTTGACCTGATGTTTTGTTGACTGCTGTTATTCCGCTGCAGTATGCGATCTCTAACTCTCGGTAGTGTAAGTTGCAAGGAGCACGGTAGCCGCATAGCACAAGTATGGATTCGAATACAATTCGGGTTCGGAAATTCGCTCATAACTGGCCAACTTTGTGAGACTGTATTTTGTGTCGAGTTCGAACCTTTTTTTAGAAAAAGAGCGAAACTGAAATAAGGCATGCTCTACGCCTTCATCAAATTAGCATTTTATATTTTACATTTTTTCTCTGTCACCGTGAAAGGGTATTGCTATTTCTCCTGGATCCATAAGAATAATACAGTACTTAGATGCCCTGTATTAATTCTTCGCATGGCCACGCCACGTAAGTATGCAGAAAAGTAATTGAATAAACAAAAAATATGTTAATAATAACTGGGAGTATCTTGAAGCCGACGGGCAAGAATCAATCTAAAGTACTTACTCTCTCATCAACCACATCATAAAGAAATTTCTGGGTTTGCTCTTGATAGAACTCATCAGAATGCTTCAAAATCAATTGGAAGATCAAGTATAATTCACTGACAAGTAGGTTTTGAAGAATAACAAATATTGTTTACTCAATACAGAGTGGTGGTTTTCATGCTAACTTCGAAAGATTCCATGTAACTGTATTAAGGTATAAGAGTCTGAAGAAGAGAAAGCTGGCATCCTCCAGGGAAATTCTGATTGACAGTAGAAACTGGTTTTCGGTCTCCTCTTTGAAGGTTCGGCGAGTGAATCTTGTCCATACAGCTGTCCCTCCGCTAAGTTTATCTACGAGTCATTGTTGGATACCTCGAGAACAAGTAAGCCACTTAGTCGCGGAGGACGGGTGTGGCATTTCCGAAAACCTGGTCGGCAGTTCCATGACCTTTGACCGCAGCGATGATAAAGGGTCTGGAAGATGGCATATTTTGCGCCGAGTGTTCCGTAACTCACACACACTTTGTTTAACCGACCATCAGAGTGAAAATTGCCGATATGCTGTCAACGAAGATCTGAAACCACACTCGGAACGATCGAAAAGCGCTCGCAAACACGATTTAATTGTGAGCGTGAGTTGCGATGTGAAGGTGTCAATAAATCGCGCATACTTCGGTAAACTGAGAAATACCTATGCACTCGCTCAGTAGGTCGAAAATCAGCTGAACAGTTCAGAGAACCTATGTTCACTGGAAGTTAGACAGAATATATTGACACTATTCAAACTTTGAAATCACCAGTAGTTGCTCGAAGATTCATTCTGCCTGAGATCTGCTCAGCCGGCAACTTACAGAGATAATGCTCCACGAGCAGAAGCGGTCCACTTGGTCCTATGACTGAGAAACTGCAAAAAGGATTCCCAACTACTCAGTGACTCCTGAAAAAGAGAAAAGGGCGCCTAAAAAATGGTGATTTTTGGTGAAAAATGGTGATCCTCAGTCTCGAAAGGTACTGGGTACTGATAAGGGTGAGGAGAAAGGTGGGTGGATTCTACACGCGATGTGGTGTGAATAAGTAATAACTCAGCCTTTCCAGAACCCATATCATTCAGACGTGGAAGTTGGAAGCAGAAAGGGTCTCTTCAATAGTTTTGGACTGTTTCTTGCGGCTTTTTGTGATCCAAATGGCTTTGAATCTTGTGTTACCGAGTGTGTAGTGCTGGAAGAATGTGCCAGTACTCTTACTGCTTT